GTGGCAAGACAGGGTCCCTGATTCTGTCGTATTGGATAAGCTGGCATTCCCGGCATCAATAGCATTCTGGTGCAGTCAGAGATTCGATGGGCAAGTCACACATTGAAAAAGCAGTACACCTCTAGTCAGCAGGCCTGGACAATTTTTTCGAATTTCATCATAAAGCATCGATAAAACTTTACAGTATGAATCAGCATTCACATTGTCACTTTTTAAAAAACTGGTTAAAAGCACTCCTTGACAGTCGCAGAACACTGTCAGCATAACCTTCTCTGCTGATAGCATAACCTTGAAGTTTTGAATGCAAGGTGAAGGATGTTTCCATTGCAATAAAGCATGCTTTGGTAGTGATGCACCCATGAATTGTCCTTAGTAATAAACCTGTTCAGCATGTCTCCGCCTTCATCGGCATACTGACAAAGATGCTGGAAGGACAGGCCTAATCAGTTCATCATGTGTTCGCCCGTCATTTGTCTGATGTATGACAAGTTAGATATTGTGAGGGCCCTTTGGGAGCGAGGATAGATCATTACGGTCTAAGGAGAATGGCGCTGCGAGGAGTTACCAGGGGATCTGGCTGATGCTCAACGCTCAGGGGAAGGATGAGACGAATATACAATCAGACGGTTACTGATAACATCAGAATTGGAATTCTTCGCTTGCTGCTGAAGATGGGGATTGAGTACTTATGGGAGTGGCCTGAGTGCTGTGATGTCGATTCTTAATTCAACAAACATTCTTAAATTAAACTCGATCATGCATTATGTTGTGGGCTGAACCAGGTGAGCACCCTACTGCAGCTGCTACAGAGTCGACCGTTACTTGCCTGTCACCCTTAATCCCTCCATCTGCTGCGCCTGTCTTTATCAACAATCGTAGAGCGTCCCCTAGAAATCCGTTTTATCCAGCTAGTCATCGCTTTATGGAAGAAACATTTGTGAGCATAAACATTTCCTTATGAATGTCCTTTGCAGGCAGCCCTTTTGCTAAAAAAATTAAAATAACAGCACGTTGTTTGTCCCCATTTTGTTTCTGTGTTGCGAAGGCGCATGCAATACCTAGCACCACCTAACCAGCAGAGACATACAGTTTGATGTTGCTGTCACCTAATGACACCTTTAGAAACCACCAACTACATCTTCCTGCCATCACATAATCATTTGTGACTTACTGACTTCACAAATCTAACCTGCATGCAGATTTGTATTCTTAGAATAAGTTTCAAAGGCCTAAGTAAAAGCACACAATATTTTTTTTATTTTTCAAAACTATATCTAGACATATAGTTAAAAGAATGCCAAAATACCATGGGCCGTGTTGCATGAAGGGAGAAAAACAGGAAGGTAATAGGAATAAAGGAGAAAATAACTGTAGAAGGGTTAAGAGCAGAGCGTCTGAGAAGAAACACATTAAATACATGGGATGACTACAATGGCCCTGAAATCTCAAGGTTTAATTTTTCTTCTTTTGTTTACTGGTTCGGCAGAAAATTCTGGATTTTGTCAACTTCTGGACTTTAGTCTTGTTCCAGAGCTCAGGTTTTCTGTGCACATCCATTTTACAGATCTGGCTTATATGTACGCAGACTGCTGGTTTCTCACCTCTCAAGCAAAAGCACTCAGACTCTAAAGGAATCACCCTCAATTAGTCCCCTTCTACCGACATGCTTGTCAGGGGAGTGGTGGGTTTATTCTTTCTTTCCCCCAAAATGGGGCTTCAGAACTTACACAGCGAATGTTCCACTGTGGAAGACATTTCTTATCATGAGCAAGTCTTACTAGTCATACTTGCCACTGACAGGGTCTATGATTCGCACTTCATCAACAACAAGGCAAGATATGAAGTTCCTCCTAGCTACAGGACAAGATCAGAGAAGTGTTGTAAGACCGAGTGCTGACTATGCAGTCTGATCCCTCCATCAGCCTGCTTTGTTAACTTCAGAGAAAAAGTAACACCAATACAGCTAGAACAAAGAAAGAATGCTGATGAAAAAAAAGCTGCTGGATCAGAAGAGCAGTGATCTGTCTGTACACATGCTGCAGCTTCCCTTTTAGACCAACTGCCATCCAAGGGTAAGGGCCTGGTCTGCCCTGCCATAACATTTCAGTTTTCAGGCTGCATGTCCTCATCCTAGGATAAGGCCAGTACCCACCCAAAGCTTTTGGCAAAACATCAAGTTTGGCACACACCTAACATTCATCATTACCAGTGAACAGGTGCTCACCAAGTACAAAAGTAACTGAGATAAGAAAACATTGAATATTATTTCCATAGAAGTGAGTATTTCACCTCATCATTTGAACAAAGTCAGTACCTTTGAAAAAAATCCGACTAAATGATAACCCCTGGCATCTTGTTCACACATACAATAGAAGAGGAATGGGTCTGTGTCAAAGTAGAGGGTCTTATGGTCTAGAAACAGCTTGGCTAGTAAACACAAATGTTGAGCATATTGCTGCAAATAAAAAGAAGAAATATACATTTCGTTATTATAATCTCAAAAACTTTAAATTGAAATGGTTAATAAAATACATATAACAGACCTGGTTCATTCTAAGGATCACCAGAATGAATGATCAGGTCAGTTTTATTTTCCTGCCAAAGCCTTTCAGGCATTTATCTTTTAAACTTCCCCTTGTGTTGCATGACATAAATGAGACAGCACTGATACAGGTTGTGGTCACTAGGGCATTACAAATATGTGCGATGATTTTTGCAAAGTTTTATTAGTTGACAACAAAAATCAGTAGATTTGGAACTGTGAGAGCTTGACAGTTGTGCTTCAGGGTCGCGGGGCCGTTTTGCCCAAGGGAAGCTGTTCACTATACACAGCAGTTGGCTGATGATATCGTGAGCATCTGAAGCGGTTTAGTACCAGAAAAACAGAAAAGCGGTTATTGAATTTTACCCTGGTACTGGTTATCGTCAAGCTACATTTGTGAGAACGGTCAGTAGTTATTTTCAAGCTCGAAGTTATCATGGCTGAGCGGAACTGATCTGGAATGTTGCCAAGGTGACTTTGTTTAATGTTTAAAATGCCTATATTTTCCTTATCAATACACGTTTGGATGGCAAAGCAGTTCAGTCATTTAATATTGTTGTCAAACAGGACCACAAACATCTAAGCACATTCTGACGACCTGGCCGGCCACTCTACCTACATCTTCGAAAAGACACCTGACCTCAAGAACAAAGTGTGCAGAGCAAGCTATGGGAAACCATGAAGGACCCGTTACTGATATGCAAGTTCATAGAGGCAACCCACGTGATGGTCTGAGCTGGGCATGTGAAACCGAACGCAAAGAAGAAGAAAAGAAATTGTTGTATTCATTTAATGTTATCAGTCATAAGCTTAGGCATTTTAGAAAAGTGAACCTGTTTGTTGTACCACAAACATCATTCACACTAGACAACTGACCACATTACATGTTACTTTTCCCATCAAGTTTTCCACCTGTCACCATGTTCTAAAGTTTTATTCCTTCTCATAAAATGTATAAAGTTTTGACTGTCTACCCTTTATTTGTGGGCATCTGTGGCTTAGGCGTTGCAAACGTGCTTCGTAAGGCCGGGGTGCCGGGTTCAATCCCAGCTGTAGGCCTTGCGCTGGTTTCCAAAAGTGGTATCGAGAAGCTGACTGTCCAGAAAGCAATGACAAACTACTGGATGTAAATTTGCCTAGAAAAATAACAACAGCCAAAAAATGCTAGTGTAGGTTCTGCAACGTCTGTAATGGATATGCAACTAATGAACCCTTTATTTCTCCACTTTACAGTTTTCATGTGTCTTACAGCACAGAAGTCAACTCTTATCCCACCCTATGCTACTAGTTGCCAGACATGGTCACTGATAACAAAGCAGAACAGAAAATTAGTAACCATGGCAAGAAGATGCTTGAGAAGGGCTGAAGGGGTGACCAGAAGAGATGAAAATAAGAAATGAGGGTCATAAGATAAAAGAAAGTGTTGCCAACTTACAGAGAGTTGAGTCAAGAACTGACATCATAGCACTCGGGACATTCCCATGCATGCTATGTTCTCATCTTCTGCAGCCAGCGCAGTTTCAATACTGATGGTACCGGTCACAATCTGGTTAAATGTCCGTCTTGCCTTTCCTATGTGTGTAGTGAGCCGGCCACAACCTCTGATTACACCCAGATGCATCATTCTCTCCAGGCCATAATAATCTGGTGTCTATATTGATTCCTTTGCTTGTTCCTAAAGGAACATCTGCCTTGTCATGTATCAATTCACCACCCAGTGGTGCAGATCCAGCCAATCTGTCTACCTGTACATAACCCACCATGCCGGCAGCATGGCTTGGAGAAAAGATCCAAAGTATGCTCACTACCCATGACTTTTCCAGTGAAGCTTGCCACTCTGCTCGACTGTTATCTTACAGAAAATGTCTTGCCATACCATAAAAAAACATACACCAAAGGAAGATACGGACGCAGAGTAGGAAAGGAACAAGATAGAAAGATAACATCAGAGAAACTCTACAATACAATTTGTCTATGCTCAAGGTGACAGAAGAGTAAGAAACCAAACCTTATATCTAGCTAAAGGCCAAACTTGGAACTTCCTCGACACCCGAAGCAATAAAAAAGAAAGTGAAGAAAAAGTGTTCCAAGGATTGCCTCAGCTGTATTTCTGTCAACCCGTGATAATTCTTGGCATAAAAGCAGATTAAGGATTTCATTTTCTTTTATACTAATACAATCATATAATCTATATAGAGCCCTAGTGTCACTATTGTGTTAAAGTCTTCTTACGACCGGCTCAAGGTAAAGTGGGAAACAATGAACGCCTGCTTGTTACTGCTATTCAATTGTGAGAGTTCATCTCTAGCTAAAAACCTAAAGAAAAACTGGCTTCACTACCCCTATTTCCAATATTAGGTCTATTTACCAGAGAACCACTATTTCCAGTTTTAGGTCTATTTACTTCAGAACCACCATTTCCAATTTTAGATCTATTTACCAACTAGAGAATTTAGCCAACTAAGGAACCATATGTAGGCAAAAAGTGATCTTTGTCAATGAACAAACCAACAGACATGCTATCCAACCAAAATAAATGTACCTTCAATAAACCAATTCTAAATGACCAAGCAAAAGGGTGGGGCGGGGGATAGACAAGGGGGTTTTTATGACTCTTGGCTAATATGGCAGCCACAAACTGTGTAGGTTAGCATGCATTTTCCCCCCTTCTCAAAGTCCATGCCATGTGGTGTTGGGAATCATGTCTATCAACAATCTTCTGTCTAGTGTACTTTCAATCAACTCTGATACAGATGATCCTCCGTGCCATGATGTCAAACTGTCCAGCATCTTTGCTCTCGGTCTCCCTCTGCCTCTCCTTCCCTCCAACTTTCCCACTGTCACGGTGTGCTCCAGTTTTCTCTTTCTCTTCACATTAACAAAGAATGTAGATTGTCTCTTTCTTGTGTCGGCAATCATTTTTTTTAAAGACATCATTACTTTTGTTAGTGAAAGTTTTGCATTCACATCTTATGTGCCCAGCATGTTGACACCATACATAGACAAAGAATTTACCTTATTTTTCCTGCCATCTATTTCAAATACTGAGATCTTGTCTTTTCTGTAGATTTCATTTCCCGGAGGATGCTTGTATAGACATTTGGCCTACAAAACAGAAGATTTAAGTGGTACATATTAGCAAAGGAATTAGGAATATCAGCAGTAGAATTGATTCAGAACACCAAAGACTGAGATCTTTGGTGTCGCATGAACGCCTACGCCAGCTGGCAAGGCACTTGATGATAATTATGTTATTAGCAAAGCTTAGCTTCATTATCACACCGAAGAATTCTAAATCAATAACAACAGTCTTCATCATCAATTTTTGGGACTGAGCCTCGAGAGGTAGAGGGTAAGAAGTGCTGGTGTTGTGGGTAGTGGTTTTCCCTCCTTACTTCAACCCTTGGTCTAGTGAATATCTATTCACAAAAGGAGTGTCCATTGCGGTGTCAGCCTCTTGACCCAGCATAACATTTCTTACCTCAAGACCATTGTGCGTGGCGAAGAGTCACAGCCTTCCCGAGGTAGTCCTGGTAACTGGGGGTGTGAATCCCTAGGCAAAACACAATGGATCTAGAGGAGTAAACCTTGATAAAAAAACCTGGTGCACCACACTGTACTGCCCCCTGTGGGAGGAAAGGAGCCGGAGGGGTGCTGAACAGTCTTATGAGTGGAAACAAGTATGCTAACCCCCTGAATATTGGAAACTATCGTGAAGGCATGTGACGACACGCTCTGTGACTTCAAATTGACTTTCCTCAACCTACTTTTATTTCTATGTATTTTAAAGTATACAGAAATAATATGGTTTTGGATACATCCTTAATCTAAGTAAGGCGACCAGAACAAACATTATATTCTCCTGGACTGCTGGCAATATCAAACACTAAAACTTTTCCCCAGATGTTAAGTGTTAAGATACTGAGACAAGACTGACAAGCTCAGACTTTGTGACTGGATATTTCGCTTGCCAAAACTTTGGTGTCAGATATTTATCTCCAAGCCAGACCTATAGGAGCAGATAACCCAGGCTAATTGCAATTATGTCCCCCTGAGGTTACCTAACTTGAGGGCAGGTCAGACGGCCAATATTGACATAGTGAGCCGAAAGTGTTAGCAGAAGAATTGACAGTCTGATTTTATGGTGATGGCAGGTTGAAGTAGGCTGGAGGTGTGACTTAGCCTATTAGCTCTGACCAGCTTGTTAACCAGGAGAAGGCAGGTGGGAATGTAAACAAGTTTTGTACAGTCTTGACTGACAGTGAATAGACTTACCCAAAGGGTGATTCTAGAACTGGTAAATGATACTCTGTCAAGAGCATGCCATCCGTTGGGATTAAAACCTAAGCTTGAGACAGAACTTTTGGCATTGTGGTTTTATTCTCCAGGTAAGGAAAATTAGTTTCAAAACCTTAATTTCTTGGTAGAAATCTAACTGTCTTTTTGCTCAGATGTGTGTCTTCATCACTTTGTAGTACTCCTTAGCGGACATTTCTCCATTCTCTTAGGGCACTGTCACATTGCTTTATATCGTAATTTATATTGTCATGAATGTTTTTCGTGCACATGTGTTTCAATGTTGTAAAACTTAAATGTTGATGTTACCACTGAAATTTAATGAACTATCATGTTTTTGAAACCACAAGCGTGAAGATAACTTTGGCAATCTTGTCACGTGTGGTTAATGTGAATCTGTATTACATACAGCTAACACACTGAAATGTGTTTTACTCCCGGAAGGCTAATGCGGAGATTGATCCTGGAGAGTAAATCCATGAGATTTGTTATTTGATTCGCCCCAGAAATATCGTTAGCATTCTGGGAGCGTCCATTGTTCCAAGCATGGATTCCAGAACTTGTTCTGTCTAACTGATTGTAATTTTGAGTCTGTACGAGAGATGACATCAGACATAAAAGACTTGAAAATGAGGGAGAGATGAATTGTTTTATTTAAATAAACATGTTTGATGTTAATATAATATACATGCTTAGTGTACATCTAGATTAGATACTACACATATGCGCTTGTTTCTTTATCACAGTTCCCACATTGGGCAGGGACTAGTAGGCATCCATTCTTTGCCGACCGTCTGAGTGTAACGACCTGCTTGAAAGCAGTGAGGACGACAAACTGAAGAAGAGGATAGGCAGGGTCTCAAGCTGAGAACTGTCCAAAGGTTTACTTTCTCCATCTTAAAAGTTATGTATAACTTTAATGTCATCAATAACACTATCTCAACTCTACTAGCCTAAACAAGTTCATTTTAATTTTGGTTATATTTATTCAATTAATCTTGTTCATGTTGTTATAAAATAGTTGAGTAAATTGTGTACTTAGGTTCAAGTGGCTTGTGCATACTAGTTTATTTGAGCTCACTATTTGAATCACTTGATGGGGGGCTTTTAAGTAATGCCAGGAGAGGAGAAAGTCGGAGGGGTTAACTGTGTATCTAGATAATATCAAGGTGGGTTTATCTTGATATCTATCTATCCCTTCTCCTACTCCTGTGGATACAAGTACAGCAACTTTCATTAATGGAACGAGCCACTCGCTGTTTTCTTGGCTATCCAGGACTGTCTAGGATCAACATAGCTTAGATATTAGTCCAGTTTCTCACGTGGGTGGGCACTGTTAAGGTTCAAACCCACACCCTCACTATATCAGTGTATTTACCCATATGGGCTCGCGACAAGGCACATGGACTCAGGACATGATGATCCAGTTGCCCCAACTACTCATGCTTAGAGCCAAGAAGAGCTCAGCGAAACCTGCAGGCAATCTGGTGGTGGGGAATGAGCACACTGTGAGCCCCACCTTAGCTACATGTCAAAGGGAAAGGCAGAAACACAATCCGTATTTCCCTAAGAACTGACACAGAGGACTTCTGGCTGCTGTCCAGGGAGGAAGGTTATCCACAGACACCCCAGCATGGGCCAAAGGATGAAAGCTCAATAACAACAACAACATCATTAATTTCCACTTCTGATGTTAAGGGTAGTGGTGGGGAACAGTTTGTGATTCACTGTTCGATGGGCCACAATGGCTATTGTCATTCCATGTCAATGTAGAAGCTCTGTAATGTCATCAATCCATATTTTCCTAGCTTTCACTTCAGATCTGTTCATGTGTAGCACATGCACTGGTAGTTGTTCTAGCTGCATTCTTACTACATGACCAAACCATCTGATCTTCTGTTTCTCAATCAATAACAACAGTATTAGGACATTTAAATGACACACATATAGTAGCATTGTAGTCAAGAACCAACAGCCCCACACTCAGGACATCTCCAGACGTGCTCTGTCCCCAGCTTCAGCAGTCAGCAGAGTTCCGAAATCACTGTTGCTAGTAAAAGCTCGAGAATATGTTTGTCTTGGCCTTTCCTCTGAATTGTGAGTGTCGGCCAGACCCCCTGCTGTTCCCTTCCCACTGCCCCATCCTCCCAAAACCATAATGATCGATTCAGGCTTCTGCATTGTACACTTGCTCCTAAAGGACCATGACCACATCTATCTTACCATGCATCAATTCACCACCAGAAGGTGGACAGAACCAACCAACCTGACTTGATTTCCCAACACACAATTGACAATGCACTAGTTATAAATCTTTAAGATTTCTCTGCTCTGGTACCTTTTCACCAGAACCAAACCTTCTGTCTTTCAACTCCCAATGAAGCACAAGCTCTCAGCTAAATCCCGCCAATCCTTTTGTAACTTGTCCATGGTTGGTTGGATTTTCGAAGTTAGTTTACCAGGATGAGGGAGTCACTCTCAGTCCAATTCTCCTTAGTCCCCTCTTACTTCCTGCACAGCAGGTTACTTCTTCTCTGCGATCAGTTTCGTACGCTCAAGTCAGACCATCAGGTGGGTTGCCTCTATGAACTTGCATATCAGATGCACGGCCTTCATGGTTTCCTAAAGCTTGCTCTGCACACTTTGCTCTTGAGGTCAGGTTTCTTCTTAAAGTTGTAGAGTGGGCAGGTCTGCAGAATGTTCTCAGGTGTTTGTGGTCTCGTCTGACATGCACACTGTGGGGAATGTAGTCTATTTTATGCATGTGGTAGCTGAGCCTGTAGTGTCCTGTTCATAGACGGAAAACTGTATGTTGCCTTCCATTGAGTCTGCAGATGGGATCTTGTGGGGGTTTTTGCTTGTATTTTCCCCTGATAAGTGTTTTGATTTCTGGTAATAAGAATAAAAGGGTGTGCTGTTGCTTCTTTGTTTTAGTTATTGTGGCAAGTCTATCTGCTAACTAATTTCCTGATATGCCGCAGTGAGCCGGGATTTACTGCAGAATGATTTGATTATTTTCTGAGAGTCTGTTTAGCTGGCCGGTCAGTTCTTTTCCCATGTTGTCTTGTGGATCCCTCTGTCGCCTGGAGTACTGACATGCAGTCACAAAGCACTTTGGTTGCATCAAAGAATTACAACATAGCAGGTTACAGTGACAGGATTCTTTGTTTCCCCTTATTTGTCCTTTTAATACAGATAACTTGGTATGTTAGTGTTACAGTTCTTTTTCTCACAACCCGGTCACCCGGGAATTCTTTAAAAAAAAGGGGCCATGAACCCATGAGAATTGCCAAAACTAATTACGTAAAAAAATGTTTTTTTTTATTTATTTACACATTAAAAATTTTTTTTAAAATTTACACAGGTAATTTCTAGACTTGGTTGCAGAACCTGACTAACTGGACAGGCCTCAGGCATGCAGCCATGAAGTCCAAGGCAACTAACCACAAATCGTGAAGAGAGCGGATCAGACAGTCAACAGAAACTGGTGACCCAACGACACGCAGTGTTATGGGATGATGAAGCACTAATAATATGTATACATATTAACTTAACTACATTAAAAAAAAATATTTTTTTTTCAACTATAAAAAGATATATAAAGGCAGTAATCAATAAACAACAACATAGTAAACCAGCAGAGAACTGGGGTCACAGGACACTACACGCCAAGGGAGATACTGAAGAGGGGATCTGAGCGCTTACGGACTGAATGGTCCAATGTGTGATGATGATAATCTGTCGACTAACTAACTAACTAATAAACAACAACAGAGTGAAGCACTCTGAATGGACAGCATTTCCCGGGCCTAAAACGGAGTGAAGTACTCTGTATGTATTGCATTCCCTGGGCCTAAAAGGGGGAGGCACTCTAAATGGATTGCATTCCCCAGGCCTAAAACAGAGTGAAGCACTCTATATGGACTGCATTCCCCAGGTCTAAAATAGAGTGAAGCACTCTAAATGAACTAACTGCATTCCCCAGGCCTAAAACAGAGTAAAGCACTCTATATGGACTGCATTCCCAAAGTCTAAAACAGAGTGAAGCACTCTAAAGGTCCTGCATTCACCAGGCCTGAAACAACAGAGCGAAGCACTCTAAATAGACTGCATTTCCCAGGCCTAAAATAGAGTGAAGCACTCTATATGGACTGTATTCCCCGGGACTAAAACAGATATGCTTCAGGTAAATTATGCAGTGCAACCCTTAAAAAGCCATCACATTCACACCAAAAAAAACCAACTGCTATATAGTGGCCACAGATAGTGAATGCATTTGTTTTCCTTGTGTGAACTGAAAGTATACAACTGCTGGCAACTATTGTTGAGTGTGTTAAATGTTCCGAATGCTTTCCAACTGTGCCTAGGGTGATTTATGTAATGAACTGCACATTCAGAAAATGGAAAAGGGGCTTGCTGTCGTAAAACTGGTGATGCCTTGTGGGATTAACTGCATGTGCAACTGCTGCTTCCATCAATAATAAACTGCAATGTTAGTGGTGGACTGTTTGTGTTAGCACTTCTGACAGCTGCCTCACGCTACTGCCTTTGTAGATCCAGCCGTCTCTTTAAATTTTTTATCTGGCAAAGTGAATCATAGATTACTGGTTGTATATTCCTTTAAAGATCAAATCCAAGAAAGAATTTACTGACCGTTATGCAGTTCTACCAAGCAATTTTATGTTGAGCAGTTCGCCGCAGCATTAGGAATGGTACAATGCTCATAATTTTGTGTAAAAGAAAAAGCAGTCAATCAAATTTCTTGCAGCGGACACTGACCACAGTATGTCAAGAATATGAAAGTGTGCTTGCAATCCTTAAACCATAAGCACTGACATTGTGGATTGTTTTCAAACTATTAAGACAATAAAGTTAGCAGCATATCCTTTACAGGATATCGTAAAACGAACCACAGCCTTTTCTGGTAATTTGGTTTTACTAGACAATTTTACATTCGGTAGTATGCCATTTCATTTGGTTTTACTAGACAATTTTACATTCAGTAGTATGCTATAGACTATGAAAAAGCATTTGACAGCATAGATAGGGAATCTCTCTGGAAATTGATGGGGCACTATGGAATCCCACAGAAAATTATCAACTTAGTAAAGGCAACATATAAAGACATGAAATGTCGAGTTCTTCATGAGGGAAAGCTAACAGATGCATTTGAAATAAAAACAGGTGTGCGACAGGGATGTCTTTTGTCGCCTCTCTTATTTTTACTGGCTATAGACTGGACTATGAAAACAGTAACTGCTAACACCAAGAATGGAATTCAGTGGACCCCTACAAAACAGCTTGATGATCTGGACTTCGCTGATGATATTGCTCTTCTGTCCCATTCACGGAATCAGATGCAAGATAAATTAAATATACTTAATGCAAGATCTTGGTCTGAAAATCCATAAAGGAAAGACAAAGATAATGAGAATAAACAGGCAAATAGTAATGTGGTTTCTCTTAATGGCACCCCACTCCAAGACGTGGAGTCGTACACCTATTTAGGCAGTAATGTAGATAAAGATGGAGGAACTGATAGAGATATTAAAATAAGAATACAAAAGGCAAGAGGGGCTTTCATAGCACTAGGGAATTTGTGGAGGTCAAAAGAAATTAAAAGAAATACTAAACTAAAAATTTTTAATTCTAATGTCAAATCAGTACTATTGTATGGGGCGGAAACATGGAGAACAACCAAGGCAATTACTAATAAATTACAGACAATCATTAACTGGTGCCTGCGCAGAATAGAGGGAATAAAATGGTATGATAGAATAACTAATGTAGAACTTTGGGAGAGAACTAAACAGGCTCCAGTAGATCAGGAAGTGAGGAAAAGACGCTGGCGTTGGATAGGGCACACACTGAGAAAACAGGAGAACAGCATTACTAGAATGTCTTTGCATTGGAACCCACAGGGGCATAGGAATAAAGGAAGGCCAAAAAACACATGGAGAAGAGAGCTGGAGAACGAGGTTAGAAAGATTGGGAGGACATGGGGAGAGCTCCATGCAATGGCGAAGGATAGAACGACTTGGCGTGAGTTGGTTGAGGGCCTATGCTCCATTGGGGGATAGAAAGGCAGAAGAAGAAGAAGTATGCTACTCTTTCTGAATGGTCAGCCTTTCACATCTCTGTCAAAATTAACGTAAAGCAGTCTGCTGCCAAATCTCCCACAGCTGGAATTGAATCAGGCATTCAGAAATTATGAAGCATGTTCACAATGCCTAAGACAATTAAGACAATATTTACAAATAAATTCTACATCTAGGCGCCGACTAGAACCCCAGTATAAACACTGTACTTACTAGATGTCTTTCCAAGCATTTGGCACTTTTCAGGTACTTCAGGCAGTACTCACAAATGTACAATATAGGCAGTGAGGTAAGTTCCTTTATATGAGAAACAGAATAAAAACACAATTCTCTAACAAAACAGCAGGCAAGTAATGTAATCAACAAAACTATATTTTTTTTCAATGTGAACTTTTATCTTCTTCTTCATGTTAACTCTGGCAGAAATTCCTGATTGTGCCTTCTCTTCTGGACTCTCGTCTTGTTACCAAGACTTTAGTGCCGCATGCACATCCATTTTACAGATATGGCTTATCTGTATGCAGACTGTTGGTTCCTTGCCTCTGAAAACTAATGTACTTCTTCTTTTCTCTACTCCTAGCCTGCCTCGTGGCGTCAAGCCAGGAAGAGATCTCTGGAGCCGGCCCTTCTGTTCACTTTGTACATAAAACTTTAGTCTCTCTGATACTTCTGCGGTCCATGCTCTGCGTGGTGGACCTCTGGCTCTGTTACCGTTGTATCTAATGTACTCTGACTGAAGGAAATGTTAATTCTACCTATGCTGAAAAGGTTCACAGCCAGGAACCTGTTTGCTAGGATGACTGTGTAAACTGGTCATGACCACTAGTGCACCACATCTGATTCATCAATTCTGCAAGTAAAAGTTAAGGACCCCTTTTCCACGCCTTCACACGTACTGGGCATATAGGGCTAGACCTTATAAGAAGCACACAGAAAGGCCAGTTTCAGAGATCTCTTCCTGCCTTGACACCGTGAGGTATTATATGAGTAGAGAAAAGAAGAAGAGGGCTAGACCTTTATTTTGGGCACTTGGTGGGTGATGTGGTCAGCATCACTCTAGCTGCCTTTACTTCCTAGGACTCCACCTATTACCCATTCAAGACTGGGTCGGCCTTGGAGCCAATGCCATTTTCTGGAAAAAAGTTTGGCACCGCCAGGACCCAAACCCAAGATCTTTCAATATGCAGGCAAGCGTCTAGCCGCAACACCACAGCAGCTCCCCATCCCGTCATGGATTTAAATAAACAGAACATAAACCGCTTAAAAGAGATTCATTTTTGTGCTTCATAATTTCTCGATGTAAATTCTGTATCAATGCATCTGAGATACTCTGAAATATGCTGGTGCAATATACTGTCAAAAGACATTTAGCAAATACACAAAAACTTAAGATCTTCAACTCCTGTGTGATTCCAGTGCTAACTTATGCATGCGAGAGTTGGAAAGCAATGGTAGCTCTAGATAAAAAAAAACATTAGACAATTCTAAGAACAGATGTCTTAGAAGAATACTAGATCTCAACTAGACAGATTTCAGATCCAATATGCAAATGAGAAAAGAAACCAAGTAAGATAATGTATCCAATTTTATAAGAAAGCGCCGCTGGAACAACATAAGAATGGATAAGACCAGACTCCGCTATCAAGCCCTCACATGGACACCGGAAGGGAAAAGAAAACAGGGAAGATCATGAGAGAGACTACGTAGAACCATCATCAGGGAAGGCTCAACCATCAGCATAATGAATATCCAAGACTTCAATCTGGTGGCAACGAACCGCCAGACATGGAGAGCTATGACCTCTGCCCTAGGCTCAAGAAATGATTAACTAACTAATATACTGTTTGTGATTGAAATAATCATCATTATAGTTTTGAGGTCACTGGTGGATAGGTTATCATCTTCTTCTTAGTGTTTACTGGCTGTAAACTCAGGCGGAAAGTTCTGGTTGTTTGTCTAATTCTGGACTTTGGTTCTGATTTTTATGCACATCCATTTTACCGATCAGACTGTTGGTTCCGTGCCTCTCGGGCAGAAGTACTAAAACTTTTGAAGAAACGCTGCTAATTAGTAGCCTCCTATGACGCGCTTATTAAGGGGGGAGGGGCAATGGGTCTATTATTTGCTCTCCAAAATGAAGCCCCAGAATCCACAAGGAGGAAGGTAACAACAATATTATAGAAAGAAACCTAGCTATTAAAACAATAAACACAGTTAAATTCACTGAGAGACAAAGAGAGGTCATTAATACAATATGACTGGCAACTGACCCTAGGGCTACTTGTTAGGCTAAATAGGCAGTTGAATAGCCCTGGCATAAGGCTTCACAACATTACAGCATATAAAGCTGGGTTAACAGAGGAGACAAGGTCAGTTATAAACCTCCACCTTGACAAAAATGCGACCATAAACAACTGTCTAGCTACTGCCTTAGTGCGGCCCTCACAGATTAGACACCTAAAAAAGACCAAATCCGTAAGGACATTCTCTTTGGTGATTTTAAAAAGAAAAAAATATCCAGAAACTAAGAGTTGTGCGCCTTTTGACTCGGTACTATGGATATATCGCAACTCTTCGGCCTTTCTTCCATGATAGGTACCGTCAATCTGGGAGATTTGTGACTTTTCAGCCTACCGTCAGGCATGATCCTGGACCAAAAGGAGTTTGTCACCCGGTCGCCACCCAGTCAAGTTTAATCAACTGAGCTAGCGCGCCAGGCCTATGGTGAATTACAAAAGGGGACAAATCACTAGGCCGGCCTCTACTATAATATAAAGATGTGCACAAATGGGACATGAAAGATATAGGTATTAAGGTAGATTTGTGTGAACAAAATGGCAAAGACCATGCTGAATGGAGAGGGAAAATCAGGAAGGGAGCAGGAGGCAAGGAAATTTGATAGCAGAAAGGATTTGAGCTGAGCGTCTGAGAAGAATCTTGCTAGACACATTGCCATTGCCACAGCTGCGATTACACGCCTCCCCACAGCACAATATAACACCATCGACTGGAAAGAAAAAATGGTGCTAACAAAAGCCAATAATAATATTTAAAGATATCTGCCAATTCTAGAGAACCTACCTGTGGATATGGTGAGAAATACCACGGTTTTATCTGCCACCGACCAAACTCGATGAGATTAATGTTTTTCATGCGGGTGACGATGTCATCATGATGTGCCACCATGCTACCAGTCTGTCTTGGTGCCATGGGAATATCTTGTGAATCGCCCTAAAGTTTGAGACAAGTAAACGCAGAACTGTAACTAACAAAAGTTATACAAATGAACAGGAATAAAACAACAGAAAAAAATTCTTCTTCTCTTCTTCTTCAGCATTCCGAGCCTCTGAGGTTCATTGCTGCAGATATCACCCGCCTCCATTCATCTCTCTGGTTGGCCTTCTCTTTCCAGTTGGTAACAGCAAGTGTTTGCAGGTCTGTCTGGATATTATCTCTCCATCGTCTTCTTGGTCTCCCTCGTGGTCTACGACCATTCATCTTCCTGGTGTATACAGTTTTTACTTCTCTGTCATCTGACATTCTTTCAATATGCCCAAACTATTTCAGTCTATCAGCTCTCACGATGCCAGTGATCAGTGGTGATTTAAACAGATTATGAATTTCGTTCTTGCTTCTCACTCTCCATCTTTGATGGGTCCAAAGATTCGTCGTAACTCTGTTTTCAAAAACCTTTAACTCTTTAAGGCCCAAACAACGGTGTGAGCATAGTTTGAGATGTTCCGTTCTGCCCAAACAACGGTGTCATCGTTAATCGTGTATCTCTTACATTTTGCTCCGCATGCGCGCTAGTACTAGTTTCTAATGTTTGGAAGTACGAATAACCTATTCAGGGAAAGTCACTCTCCCGAAATCCTTTTAGTTTCACTTCTTGGACTAAACCACACGTGGATAATTTGAGAGAAAAAAAACATCAAATTTTTTTAACAGTTTATTTTCTAAGTTAGTTTTTGAGTGCACTGAATACCAATGTTCTAACCACAAGAACAGGTCGCAGAATGCGTCTTTCTGCGGCCGAAGCTCTGAAACTGTTTCAGTCAGATGTTTTTAATTGTGAAAATGATGATACAGATTTAGATTTTTCGCAAAGTGATTCAGACAGTGAATTTTCACCAGTGAAGCTGAGCGATCAGCTGTTCGGAATCTAGCGATTCTGACGAGTTTATTACACAGATATGTCCCATACTACCGTATTTATGGTGTAAGAGAAGGAAAGTGCTCTAAACAAAGAGATAGTACTATACTATGGCTAAGCTACATTGAAATCATCGCAGCTACAGTCTGTAAATAACTGTACAAAGTGAATAGTAAATAGTGTGTGTGTTATGGCTCATTTTTCTGCCATTTTTTCTCTGAAATTTTGCTTAGCACTTGGTGGGAACTAAGAGCCCCTGAGTGATAAACTAACCCAGAAAGTTATCATAACTTTAGAATATGTTAGGACATTGAACAAACTTTGAAGTTTTGTTCTCAAATTTGGATATTTACTATTCTTGTGGCTGCAAAACCATGGTAAATGAAGAATTTTTTTGTGAAATGTTGTCCTTGTGAAATTAACACCTGCTGAATTCTTCTTTTCCACTAACTATAACAAAATTAAACAAACACTTATCATCAGATTCAGAATGTACACTCATTTCTCGTTTAAAAAATATATACTGTTATAAGGATTAGAAGTAAATTACAGTCTCTGCAGCCTTTCTTGTACACCCACCCCTCTGCCATTTTTGTAAAGGGAAATTAATGTGGGCCAAGTCTGTCAAAATTCATGGGCCTGAAAGAGTTAATAAGGCTTCATCTCTTTTAGAAAAAAATTCAACACAAAAATTGTATCAGACAAAACAAACAAAAGCAAACTTAATAAAAGCTTTCACAAAAGAGCCTAAAATGGATAACAGTCTTTCTGCAATTGCCCTTGAAAAGGCAGTTGGCATAGTGTGTAGTTGTTTTTAGCTTCTTTTCTTTTTCCTATAGCTCATGCCACATGGTGATGGTAGTCATGTCTATCCACAACCTTCTGTCTCATGTACTTTCAATAGATTCTGACAGAGGATATTCCACGTCACAATATCAAACTGTCTAAGATCTTCTCTCTCGGTCTCCTTTTGCCTCTTCCCCCCTCCCCAACACCAACTTAACCACCATCATAATGTACCCAAGTTTTCTCCTCCTCACGAAGAGATCAAAGAATGCAGACTGTCTCCCTCTGATGTGGGCTGTTTACAGCTAGGCTGTGACATCTGTGCCTTTTGCTCCAACACATCCAATTTCAGCAAACCCCTAATTAGTCGCCTCTTACGACATGATTGTGTGGAGAGGAATGAGTCTAAAGGGTCTATTGTTCCCTCCTAAAATATGGTGCACCACAGAACCCACAGCAAATACCCGGGGAAGTAAAGGCAGCCAGCACACAGCTGACCACATCACCCATTGACTACAGTCTAGCCTACACAAATATGAATCTCTCAACATGTGTGCCATGCATCCCTGGCTTCAAGAGTCCTTAAAAAAAGGAAGAAGGGAAAACGGTTTAACAATAAAACCTGGTTAACACAAATCAACAAGGTCACTAACAACACTAGACGAGACAGGGTTAAGAATACCAGCATTAGAGAGAAAGTTGAATAAGACCATATTTGGACTATATTGACAGACAAAAAATGAAATGGTTCAGCCATCTAGTGAGAATGCAGCCAGACCAGACTGCATATGAGACTTTTTAGAGTAGAACATCTGGGAGGAAGGCGAGAGGAATACCAAGAAAGATATAGATAGATAGTGTAGATGTTCAACAAAGGGTTGAACAAATCCATCACTCAAGCCACCCGAGACAAATGCAGAAAACCACGACACTGGGCTACAACCTGGTAACAGTGAGATGACAAAAGAAAGAAAGAAGAACACAATCAAAGACAATAACAAATTAAGATGGTGTGTTAAAAAAAAAAAATGTGTGCTACCTGGGGACTAATACATGTACATCCATGCAGGACTTTTGTTTATAATAAGCTCACAAAACAAACATCAATATATTTAATGTAGACTTGAGAGCAAGAAAACAAGAAGACATGTTTACACATACATCTTCATCCAATCTCCTTTTGCGACTTCCAAAGGCTCCTGAACCCCCACCTATGGTGACTTTCATGGCTCCTGAGATGCTCAAACCAAGACTTTGCATTGATCCATTCTCATACTGAAAATAAAAGAAGATGTCTGAAATCTGGATCTGCATTGATATTAAAAATATATGACGATAACTAAGACCAGGTATTTGTACCAATTCATTACCATATAAATATACAAGATGATACACAAGGCTAAGGATTTGCACTGATACTGAAAATAAAAGATGATGTCTGAAATCTGGATTTGCATTGATATTAAAAATATATGATGATAACTAAGACCAGGTATTTGTAGCAATTCATTACCATATAAATATACAAGATGATACACAAGGCTAAGGATTTGCACTGATACTGAAAATAAAAGATGATGTCTGAAATCTGGATTTGCATTGATATTAAAAATATATGACGATAACTAAGACCAGGGATTTGTATCAATTCATTTCCATACTAAATATACAAGATGATACACAAGGCTAAGGATTTGCACTGATACTGAAAATAAAAGATGAAACTTAGAAAAAGATGGTAGCTGCCAAGGTAAAGCAGCTAGATGCCCACCTAAAGATCATGGGTTCTAATCAGCATGAAGCCAGATTTTTTCCATACATAACCTTGGCTTCCAGGTCGACCTAGCCTTAAATAGATACCAGGTAAAAGTTCTGAGAAATAAAGGCCTTATTCTTTAGTCGAGGTTTCAACTTCACTGCAATCGGGTTTCCCCAAATTTGCTCCGCTCCTGCGCCAGTGCAAATCAAATGTAATGTCTCTCACTGTCTCATTTGAAAAACTGGTTAACAAACAACTAGTCCTGGAATAATCCAGAAAAGTGCGCTTGCAGTAAATGCACATGGCAGTTGCTAGAGGTGAAAAAGCCAACAGTCACCAGCAGAAACGCAGTTTGTCTTTGATGGAAATAGTCGGGCACAATAAGTTGGTTACTATACACACACAGAATTATTACATAAGGAATTTCACCAGCTCAAGCGTAAAACGGATAGAGGCGATAATAAATACCACAACACGACCTATTCTGGTGACGACTGTTGGCTTTTTCACCTCTTGCAGCTGCCATTTGCATTTACTGATAAGTTGGCTACACACAAGTAGAATTATTACATAAGGTATTTTACTAGCTCCCATATAGTCTACTCCCATTCAACACTTCTGCACACAGTTTTTATCTCCCTGCAGTACATTGCACTTACTATTTCTCTTTCGGGGCTGCAAGGTCTTGAACTGCTTCCCCCGTTCACAACTCTGGAGCCCACAGGTGGAATTTCAACTTTCTTGACGGGGGTTTTGACATCTTTCTTTGGTGGTTCCAGCTTTGAGAGATCCATCCGCTCAACAGGCACCCACTCATCCAAGCGTTTGTTATCTGCAAAAAAGAGACAAACTGGCCATGGCTGTCTTAAAAAGCAGGACCTGACCCTTTATAAAATCTAACAATACCAAGATGAAATTTATCTGCAAATGTGGCCATGGTTATCTTATCTAAAAAATAGTAGGATCTGACCCTTTATAAAATCTAGGAATATAAAGAAAAAACCCATCTGCAATAAAAGAAACAAATTTGTATCAACTATCTTAAAAAGCAGGATCTGACCCGTTATAAAATCTAACAATATAAAGAACATCAGCAAAAAAAAAAAAAAAGACTACAACTGTCTTAAAACATAGGATCTGACTCTAAAAAATCTAGCAATATAAAGAGAAATAAACACCTACAATTAAGAAACAAATCTGCCTCAAATGTTTTCAAAAGATCTGACCCTTTATTAAATCTAACAATATAATGAACAAATCTGCAATATAAGAAACAAACAGGCCATGCCTGTCAGGTAGGATGTGACCTCATTTAAATTTAACACCTCACACAATGGTTGTCAAAAAAAAAAAAACAACAACAACAACAGTATTTGACCACAAAGGTGGTCTATACAAAAATGAGTCTAAAATTATAGGCCTTATGCAACACTAGTGTGAAAGGCCTCCTTTACTCACTTACTGATCACACACTCTCATTATCATGTAGGAGGTCCTTTGCAGAACATCACTTTCATCACAGCCTACCTTAAAAAAACTTGGCCTCTAGCCAGCTTTCCCGCCGCCTCATGCGCTTACCTAGAACTGTAGAAGTGTCTACAACTTTGGAGTTAATTTGTCTCAAAAGGAATTAAATGGTTTTTACAGAATTACTAATGTGCAGCTTTGGGAGAAATGTGAAACCTCCGTTAATCAAGAGGTGAGGTGAAGATGCTACACAGGACACATTACAACTAGAATGTCTTTGCAACCGGTACCCACACAGCCAAAGGAATACAGGGAGATCAAAATACAAACATAGAGAACTGATTCAGACAGGATGACCTGGCAGAAATTATAGGAAAACGCGCAAGGAAAGGGAATCTTCAAGGCAGGCTCCTAGTATCATATGCCTAGCCACCTGATCTTTTGCTCTCGTTTAGCTTCTTTCACGCACTATTACTCATGACTGTATACATCACTCTTCTCTGTGTGATTGAATGCCATTATATTTTTTTAACCAAGTGAGCTCAAGAGAAAGGACTTTCTCAAATATCTAGATATTATATTAATTGGTTTTCTCATCTTCCGACAATGGAACACAGGCCCTTAATAAACTCACTCCAAAACAACATATTCTTTACCATCGCTTAGATGTCCCTTCATGCCCGTCCAATTTTATTTGTCTCTGATTCTCTTTGTGCAGTTAGCACCCCACCCAAACCGCCATCTTTGCAGCGTGGTATACAATGACAGAATCATTTGAGCCTTCTAAAGCTGTAATATAGTTATAGGAATACACAAAGCCAGCTTCAAAAAAAAAAAAAATCTTCAGTTAGCTAATTTTAAAACAACTATTTGCAACTTACAGTCTTCATAATGGATGTAATACATGTGCCTTCCATTGACTTCTTTGATGCTGAGTATCTCTGCTGTATCTGAGGGGGGAAAATAACTAAGTACAAGATACAATACTATGTGTGCATTGGGTATAATACAATACAAAAGTACATGTATATTATTTGAAAATTCTGTGTTTCTGTATCAGGTATCATATGCTATTCTGTGTGTATGTACCTGGTCTTACAACAGGTTAAAGTTGAGAGAATCAACTTCACTGTTCCGGGTCACCCCATATGGTTCAATCTCTCTCCACACAATGGCAAGCCGCCTACCGAGACCGTCACACAGAGCAGGAACTCCGTAACTCCAGTTCAATCCCCAAGGATCCCTCATAAAAATTGAACTAAACAACGCGTCCATGAAGTTAATTCATGACCTTTAGATCTCAAGCAAATGGCCTGGCCATATCACCATGTGGACCCCCATATCACGTATCATAGACATTGCCATATGTATGTACTAAGTGGTATATGTAAGACAAGTGGTGCTTTATTATTGTCCTATCCCAAAATGGGAAAATCCACAGGACACGGGACAGTCCAACATTTCAGGGGGTGGTAGACAGGCTGCATGCAGTTGTGGGACCTAGGCTGCATGCAGTCGTGAGACCTAGGCTGCACTCTCTCGTGGGACGTAGGTTGATTGGGGTTAGGGGCAGTTCCAGATGCTTTGTCGTTTAAAGCATCAGAAAGCCGGGAAACCCAGTCTTATCACCCTCTAAAATGTTGGACTGTCCTGTGACGTCACCTGGGGTAGGATATTAAACAAGAACCAGACAATCTACACAGTGGTGGACACAGTACTTTTTCTGTAGTCAAACTTTTGGCACTTCAAGAAACCACAGTTGTCACTTCTAAAACTATGAGATATACATCTGATTGATTATTCTTCTTCTTCTGCCTTTTTATCCCCCAATGGAGCATAGGCCCTCAACCAACTCACGCCAAGTCGTTCTATCCTTCGCCATTACATGAGCTCTTCCCATGTCCTCCCAATCTTTATAACCTCATTCTCCAGCCTCTTCTCCATGTGTTTTTTGGCCTTCCTTTTATTCCTATGCCCCTGTGGGTTCCAATGCAAAGACATTCTAGTTATTGCTGTTCTCCTGTTTTCTCAGTGTTGTGCCCTATCCAACGCCAGCGTCTTTTCCTCGCTCTCTGATCCACTGGAGCTTGTTTAGTTCTCTCCCATAAGTTCTACATTTAGTTATTCTATCATACCATTTTATTCCCTCTATTTGACGCATGGTACCAGTTAATGAATGTCTGTAATTTATTAGTAATTGCCTTTTTTTCGTTGTTCTCACATGTTTCCGCCCATACAATAGTACTGATTTGACATTAGAATTAAAAATTTTTAGTTTAGTATTTCTTTTAATTTCTTTTGACCTCCACAAATTCCCTAGTGCTATGAAAGCCCCCTCTGCCTTTTTTGTATTCTTATTTTAATTATCTCTATCAGTTCCTCCTATCTTTATCTACATTAACTTGCCCAAATAGGTGTACGACTCCACGTCTTGGGAGTGGGGTGCCATTAAGAGAAACCACATTACTATTTGCCTGATTTATTCTCATTATCTTTGTCTTTCCTTTATGGATTTTCAGACCAAGCTGCTGTGATTCTCGCATTGAGTATATTTAATTTATCTTGTAATCTGATTCCGTTGAATGGGACAGAAGGGCAATATCATCAGCGAAGTCCAGATCATCAAGCTGTTTTTTGTAGGGGTCCAACTGAATTCCATTCTTGGTGTTAGCAGTTACTGTTTTCATTCATAGTCCAGTCCTATAAGCCAGTAAAAAGATAGGAGAGGCGACAAAAGACATCCCTGTCGGCACACCTGTTTTTATTTCAAATGCATACTGTTAGCTTTCCCTCATGAAAGAACTCGACATTTTCATGTCTTTATATGTTGCCTTTTACTAAGTTGATATTTTCTGTGGCTTCCATAGTACCCCATCAATTTCCAGAGACATTCCCTATCAATGCTGTCAAATGCTTTTTCATAGTCTATAAATAAATCCAATGTAAAGTAGGTGAGTTTCAGTTTCAATGCTTTGCTCTATTATAATCGTATAATGTGGGCTATCTGATCAGTACAGGATCTGTTGACAGAAAACCCTGCCTGCTCATTCCTTAGCATTTCATCAATAGCATCTTTTAAATCTTTCAAAAAAAATTCTACTTAATATTTTTCCAGGAACTGACAGCAAACATAATTACCTCTATAGTTTTCACACTCCTCTCCTGTAGATCACCTTTTTTGGGCAGTTTCACAAGATATCCTTCTCTCCAGATCTGCTGGGGTATTTCTTCGGTCTCCCAGACTTTACTGAATAATCTATGTAGCAATTCTGTTGATGTGTTTATGTTGGTCCTGATGGCTTCAGCTGGGATACCATCTGGGCCTGACGCCTTTCCTCCTTCCTTAGAAGATTTATAGCTTTCTAATTTCCTCTTTGGATGGTATATCTCACAGTTGATATCCAGTTCCATTCCTAAAGGCTGGATATCCATGGGAAAGGAACACCTCTGGGCCTGGTCTATTTAGAGAAGCATTTCAAATATTCAACCCATCTGTCCATTTGATCTTTAGTGTGTAGTAAGTACCTTTCCTTGACTATTTTTGAGATGATCAGTTGGCTGAATATATTTACCTAATAATTTTCTTGTGTTACTGTTAAAGTTCTCTGAGGTTTCCTTTTGCTGCTGCGTCTCCGCTTCTTGTGCTAGATCATGTAGATAGTTCACTTTATCTGCCCTTTATATACCTCCTAACTTCCTTGTTGGCTTCTGTGTAATTCTCTGAGCTCTAGCTTTAGCAGCTCTAGTTTTGCTATTGTTTAATTCTTGCCTTTTTTACTTTTCCTATCTTCAATCAGTTTAATAAGGTTTTCTGTGTGTATCCATGCTTTATGTTTCCTTTCTTTCTTGCCAAGAACTTCTACAGCAAGATTTCATTCCAGATTTCTTTGATCTGATCCCAGCAGACTTCTGTGTTGACATCTTCAGCTAACTGCTGCAACACCTGGTACTTATTAGAGACCGTAATGAGAACTGGTGCCAAAACTTCTGGAGGCCTTCCTAGCTGAGAAGAGGTATGGTAAGTCAACGATCCGAGACTCCTTACGGCTTTCTCCACACCGGCTGCGTCATACTTCTTCTATTGAAGAACCTTCCCCTGCATGTCTTGGTTGGCTGGGAGTTTATTTGCTTATCTTGTTGACCGTCTCAAGGATTGGTGCAGTTTTTGTAGGCTATGTTGTTACAGGATGAGTAGGCAACAAATAAAAAAAAAACCCTTTTTTCCCCCCCACGCCCAACCCTACCCTTACGTCGCCTCTTTACGACCTCGCCTTGGTAGGGTGCAAATGTGACCGTGACACTATTCTTTGCCTTACCGTGAGGGCCC